TTGCTCTTGCTAAAACACCCTCACCCTGGTCTGAAACAGTAGATTTTTATTGTCTATCTTCAAGGTGATTTCCAAAGCCTGTGTGAATTTTCCCAAGGACAGAGCTAATCAGCTCGCTGCCATTCCTTTCTGCATTTGTTATTTTCATTTTCTTGATTGTACATAAAATGTAGGCAACAATATTCTATGTAATAGATAATAAATCCTTCTTTTATGTAAGACCCGAGAAAAACAATAAAAGCCTGTCCACATAAGGGTTGGTGTCCTCTCCCCTTGAGAGAATGGCCAAGGCAGTCTCCCCTTGTGAGAAATAGCTGCAAGACTCTCATCTTAAGAGAGTAGCAAACCTTGCCTTTTTCTCCACAGGACTGCTATAGTCTGTGCATTTGTTTTTGTCTTCAGTCACAATACACAGACTCTGCTGGCTGGAGTTTGGCACAATATGATTTCAATTCTCTTGAATTTGTCGAGGCTTTTTTTGTTGTCCTATCATGTGGTCTATCTTTGAAAATGTTCCATGTACATTTGAAAAAAAATGTGTATTTTGCTTCTTTGGGATGAAAGTTTATATATATCAGTTAAGTCCATTTGATCTAGGGCATTATTCAATGCTGTGATATCCTTGTTGATACTTTGTTTGGAAGATCTATATATTTTTGACAGTGGGGGTGTTAAAATCCCCTACTATAATTGTGTTGCTGTTTATATCTTTCCTGAAGTCCTCCAAGATTTGCTTATATATCTGGGTGCTCCTTTGTTGGGTGCATATATACTTATAATGTTTATGTCTCCTTGATGGATTCTTCCCTTGAGTATTATGAAATTTCCTTCTGGGTCTCTTTTGGTGGTCTTTGTTTTGAGTATATTTTGTCTGATATGAGTATTGCTACCCAGGCATTTTTTCCTGTCCATTTGCTTGTAATATATGTTTCTAGCCCTTTACTTTCAGTCTGTGCAGGTCTTTTGTTCTGAGGTGGGTCTCTTGTAGGCAGCATATGTGTGGATCTTGTTTTCTTATCTATTCAGCTACCCTGTATCTTTTCATTGGAGCATGTAATTCATTTACACTTTTGATAGATACTTATTTTACTCCCATTGCCATTTTACCCCCTTTGTACCTGTGTTCCTCTCTTTCTCACTCTCTTTCTTCCTCTTCTTAAAGCAGTCCCTTTAGCATATCTTGCAGTGCTGGTTTGATGGAGGTGTATTCTTTCAGCCTTCTTTTGTCTGGGAAACTTTTTATTTCACCTTCCGTTTTAACTGAGAGCCTTGCTCAGTAGAGTAGTCTTGGTCACAAGCCTTTGGTTTTCATTACTTGGAATATTTCTTGCCATTCCCTTCTCTGTTGTAGTGTTTCTGTTGGGAATTCAGCTGTTGGCCTTATTGGGGCTCCCTTGTATGTTAATTATTGTTTCTCCCTTGATGCCTTTAAGATTCTCTTTTTGTCTTTAAATTTTGCCATTTTAATTATGATGTGTCTTGGAGTTGGCTTCTTTGGGTTTCTCTTGATTGGGACCCTCTGTGCTTCCTGGACTTGTGTGACTTTATCTGTCATCAAATTAGAGATTTTTTTCAAACAGGTTTTCTATTCCTTGTTCCTTTTCTCCTTCTGTTATCCCTACTAAATGGATATTATTACATTTCATATTGTCCTGCAGTTCACTTAACCCTTCTTTGTTCTTTTTGACTCTTCTTTCCTTTTTTTTGCTCTTTCTGGGAATTCTTGTCCTGCAAATCACTGATTTGATCCTCTGCTTCATCTAGCCTGCTTTTGATCCTTCTACTGGGTTCTTTAATTCAGAAACTGTATTCTTCATTTCCTCTTGGCTCTTGTTGATAGTTTCTATGTCCCTTTTCATACTGATATAGTTTGCAGTAATTTCCTCATAGTTTCCCTGTAGTTTTTGGTAATTCTCAGCGAGCTCATTGAGCTTCCTTATAACTACAGTTTTGAACTCAGTATATGATATTTGACTTGCCTCTATTTCATTTAGCACTCTTTCTGAGGATTCTTCCTTTCCTTTCGACTGGCGGTTGTTTCTTTGTCTTCTGATCATTTATGAGATTCTTCTTGTTTGCTTCTGCTTCTTAAACTGATCTGTTCTGACTCCCTGAGTTTGTGGTGTGAACTTTTATGGTAGGATACCTGTGAGATGCAGTAGTGCACTCTCCTTGATCTCCCGAACTTGATGATCTTGGGATGCCCTTTATGTCATTTACGTTGGCTATCTGGATGTAACTGGGTTTTGGTTGTTGATGGGACATTCTTTGGTGGGTCCTTCTCTCTAGCTGGTTGGTTGAGGGTTACTCCACCTACCACATCTTGAATACTATTGTGTGTGCAGGTGCAGACAAGCTGTGCTGAAGCTGATTCTTCTGACTGTCCGATGTTATAAGTTTTCTCTCTTGGCATTGCTCAGTTGTTTGTTCCAGGTGATTTTTCTACAATTTAGTTGTAATTCCAGATTGATCCCAGAAGGTGTATGGCTTCCATTCACTTCTCCATCATCTTGCTGGTCTAATTTTTTTTTTACTCTTTCTTACTTTGCTCCTTGCTTTCTTTCTTACTATCCTCCTGTGCAATTTTATGACTTGTGGCCATTTAGTGTCCTTTATCATAATATCTTGTGTATGTACTAAAGAATCATTATTTGTGGTTAGCATAAGACTTACATAAAATATCTTATATCCATAATTTTATTTTAAGCTGATAATAACTTAAATTTGATAATATAAAGAAAATTTACACTTTCATTTCTCCCCACTCATGTTTATGATTATTGATGTCAGAATCTATATATTTAAAAAAATGCTCACTTGAGGGCATGCCCATCAAATCCAGAAATAGGTGAAGGGAGAGAAATGGAGAGGGAGATAAACATCAATGTGAGAGAGAAACATGAATCTGTTGCTTCTTATTTGCACCCAGACTGGGACAAAATTGCAACACAAGCATGTTCCCTGACAGGAAATAAGACATGCAACATTATAGTTTATGGGATGATATTCCAACCAACTGAGCTATACTAACCAAGACTACATGTTTAAAATATTGTGTACTGAATGATGAATGATTATGCAATAGTTTTGCATATTTTTAATACATGTGTGTTTAGCTTTTAAAGTGCAATTGTAGTGAATTACGTAACACCATTACAATGTCAGACAATCTGATTTCAGCTATATACTTACAGGTACAGAGAGTTTTACTTATTCTTATGTTTTTATGATATTAATTAACACCCTTGGGTTTTAGCTTCATGTAGGCCCTTTAACATGTCTTATAATGCAGGTCTGCTGGTGATGAACACTGCCAATTTCAGTTTGTTTCAGAAAGTGTATTTCTTCTTCATTTCCAAAGGACAGCTTTGCTGGGTACTATTCTTGTTTGGTAGATATTTTTCAATATGTTGAATATATTATTCCTCTTCTCCTGCCTGAACAATTTCTGTTAACATGTCCAGGCCATAGGTTCCTTTGGTGAAGAACTCAGGGAATTACTACTGTGTACATTTGCATGCTCCTTTCTTATAAGAACTGCCATAATTTTCATCAACGGCTTCTGGAGCAAGTATTAGCTGAGGTCTAGAAAGTGGGCAAGGAATGTTATATTTCCTTTGAGGTAACACCTCAACCACTTGATCATATTTTTTAAAATGCCTTTTGGAAATATATATGAAGCAATATCCTCTTGGCTGTTCTGTCTTCCTTTAAGAACATCATCTGGTATTGGCTATTTCCTCAGACATGTATGGGCCAGCGGTCCCTTGTTGTCATTCTGAGATTGCTCCCCACCACAGAGATTACTCATCTTGCTCTGACAGTTAAATGCTGCCATGTAGCTTCAATTACTCTGGAATCCTATCATTTCATTTGCTACTAGGGAATCCAGCTGTGTCCATCATTCCTACATTATTCCAACCTACAGAGGACTGTTCCGAGGTAGCATCTCAAGAGTACAGGTGTCCTGTCAGCAGTGCATTCTGTATGCCTGATAAGGTGGTATCTCCGAGGCCTCCTGAGGATGCAGCCACATGCTGGATGGGTTTCCCAGGTGTAACAAGTAGAGCTGTGCCATTTTCCTAATACTTTTGGATCTTCGCCATTTTGTTGGACTTGGCAAGTCTGATATTTCTTCTTTCACTTCATCTAGTTTGCTCTGTGCTTTACAGCAAGTGATTAAGAGCCACCCCATCATTGCCTTTAGAAGTTGCTAGACTAGTTAAGCTCTGTAGCCAAGGAGAGTGTGTCTGTATCATCAGATCCACCCCCACACAAATCTAGCACCTGCTGGTATATGTGGCCAGTCTTGATAACACTTCTGTAGCAGTGTTATCTATCATATTTCTAGTTTGATCATGGTGAGAAAACTCTGCATGGTCTTAATTCAGGCAAGATGGGGGATAGGGCATGGGTCTGTGTACCAACAAGAACACAGGACCATTTTGCAGGCCTATGGGTTCAGAATGATGTAGACTTCAGAGTTCTCAGGTGCATCTACCTAGGACATCCCATTCTGAGTTTCAGGGCTTCATGCTTTCTTTATCAGGGCCTTGACTTTGACTCAAAGGCCACCTGAGCTTAGACCCAGTCTTCTCTGAAGTTCTGCCATTCTTAGAATTAGGGGCTGTGCTAGGCCTTCCTTACTATCTGCCTTCCAGCTGTACTTGATAATTAATGTATGTATTTACTCAATTTAACACATTAGTGGAATTTAGAAATAGCCACCAAATTATATAGTTCTTATGGTTACTATTTCTTGCTTTGTGTATGCTATAAAATTGTGTCAGTAGTATAACTATTCCCCTATATATCACTGTTTCATGCAGGTGAATGTGTTTGTAACTACACTGTTTCAGCACCCCAGGTGCTATCAATATTCTCCATGTAATCATCTGTCTCGACTCTGATCCAAACTCAGAACCCCATGCTTAGAGCTGGCTGGCTAAGACCATTGTGTGCCAGGTTTCCTAAAAACAAAGCTGGTATAAAGTCTCTTAAATAAGTGATTTATTGTGAGAATTCTCTGAGGAGGAGGAGGGTAAGGGAAGCAGGGTTATCTCTTACTTTCTCTTCATGGAGGGGAAAATGAAGCAAGGACATGCTCACAGCTGGACAATATCTCTAGCTTGAGTACCTGGGGACACGGGAACATAAATCACTGTGCATCGTTGGTTCAACCTTGGGGCTGGGAACAAAACCCCCGGCTAAAAAGATATAGTGATTAGGTGAATCTGGCTCCATGTGGCTTGAAGCAATACACTGGAGAGAGGTGATATTAGCAGCCAATCCTAACAGAAGCAGGGAGATAAGAAATCTGCTTGACGATGGGATTTTCAGAGTTCCAACAGCATCCACTGCACCAGTGAACTGTTCTAATTTGTCTCCCGAATAGCAAAGATTTTTTTGTAATCCTTCATAAATTCTTCCTTTATTAAGTATAAATATATGTGCTGGAAAAAAGATAAAAATAATGACACTTATTATCATCGTCATTAGACACCTTGCAATTGAAAATGATCAGAACTCTTAAGCAGGTTAAGTTTATGAACATATGCAGCTAAGAGAAACTTTTGTTTCCTAAGAGCTTGGTTACTGCCTGTTGATTACACAGAAATGGGAAATCATTGCCACTCTTGAGGATGCTTACTCCTCAGGTTTGGGTTGTTTCTTTTGGTGAGAGTTAGAAAAGTAACAATCAAATATCAGAGATATTTAAGTACCGTCAGTGATCTTCCTTTCATGTTGTCACTTCTATTCCCCTTTGGTCATCCCTGTTAATTATATGGTGATTCACATGCAAAGGACTTTGCAGTTTGAGATTTCTTAGAGGTCTGATTGAGTATATTTGGGGATAGATAAGAGGAACAATGTGACTTTAGGATGCAGTCCCCTTTGTAGTTGTGGAGCAAGAAGGATGTGACTGTTTTCAATGGGCTCCTGACCTCTTTACAGAAGCTCTTAAGGTCCTGGGTTCTGGGTGCAAGGCCATGTTCTTATTCATTGTTTCTCTCTGAGGTGAGCTTAAATCTTTAATGTAAAAAACCACTCACTTCCTAAACTCTTGCTTGTAACAGACTCATCATAAAAAATGAGGGAAACTCTGAAAAATCCCAAGTCCCAGAAAGTTAGAGCAGAGGGATTCATGGAAAGAAAATGCAACAAAAGCATGAGAGCCACTTACCCTGGGGTCCCAAAAGAAATTGTCCATGGCCCACACAAAATCTTTGACTTGATGGTAATTTCCCTTAATTAGTTTCTTCTTGATTATGTCCAACTTCCTAAGTTTCCATACATATTGAGAAGCCTTTTTAACCTGGTGAGAAGCATCAATAGAAGAGTTAGTGACATAATACAATGTCTGTCTTCAGTGGTTTCCCATAAAATCCACCTTGCTGGATTTGATGAGATCTCAAATCCAGAAATTCAAGGTGAAGATAAAGGTGGCTCCTACTCTCCCTCCCAAAGGGTTTCAGATCACAAATCCCATGAGAGCCCATGTCAGGGTCAGGTAACAGCATGGCAACCTGTACTGATGGTTTTTTTCATGTTACTCACATAATTTTCACGTGGAATACTTGGAAAAACATCACTTTCTAAATGGTATAGACCTTTAAGAGGAGAAACTCACATTTCTGCAAAAGAAAGAGGCAGTGAATGAGAAATAGCTTGGAAAGAATGAGCCCATAGGCATGTCCAGACACACTCACATGACCATACCAGTCTTTTAGAAGTTTCCCCAAACTGGTATTGCTCTTGGACACTAACAGGCAATGACTTTTTTCCCCTTGCAATAGTTTCTGGTGAGTTTTCAGTGTGGCTGAGACAGGATCAGAAGACAAGACATTGTTTGGCACCCTCTTCCTCATCATGTGACTGATTGACTTCTTACATGTGAGCAGAAAGGAGAAAACTTGGGATCAAACCCAATTCACCAACTTCTCCTCAGGCCCCATCAGCTTCACCAGGACCTCAGATTCCCTGTAACACTGCAGACTTTGGGAAGAGTTCTCTATTTTGCAGAAGGTACAATTCCAACTGTTCCTGAGATGTCAGATATAAGTGAGAAAGAGAAAAGCCCAGAAACAGGCACCATCCCTACAGCTGCCACTGTTCACCTTTCAGGTGAATGGCAGGTAGATACCTGGTGGGAAAGAAGGGTACCCCTCCCCTGGTCTCCACTATAATCATTAATGACTTTCCTCCCAAAGAGGGTAGCTGTAGGGGATGAGCGGGTGGAGAATGGTGTTAGAATGAGTGATGGGATCTCTTCTCCCCATATGAACAGCTGGGAGCACAGGAGCCCTGACCACCAGGCTTGAGTGTCAGAGATGGGACCTTAACCCATGGGGACCTTAGGCATTCATCATCCATTTGGAAATGTGGGAAAATAAGGAAACCAGGTCATGTTTCCTTCCTTTTCTGAATAAGTGCAGAATACAAACCATTGGCATCACCCCTCTTGGAAACAGGCATCTATGCTGGCAAAGGACAGTAGCAATGTGTTGACAAAGGCCTCAGCCACCAGCTTCAGCCTCCCAGAGGAGAGAGGAGAACATTAACCTCTTGCTGCCAACGTCTTTTAAAAGCTCCCGGGATTATACTGCTGGACCCTGTACCTCCAGTCCTTCTCTGTCCCCATCAGGACACAAGGAGGAACCCTACAGGGGGAGTGTGTATGGCAGGAGGATTGGTCTATGAAAGGAGACAGGGGGTTACATCTCACAAACCTCTTAGTCTTTACAGGTGGGAGGTGACAGTCCCCATGAAAGAATCTGTAACAAGTACCACACCTGAAGAGCTTTCCTCCATCCTGGCAGATCTCACATTTGTCTGAGTCCCTCCCCTAGAAGATAAAACAATGTTCATATCCTCATGGATCCCTGATGACCAGGGCTGTGGAAATCTAGAACTCATGACATTTGTGGGAACCTTCAGGGACTCTTATGTGTTTCTCTGAGCTTTGAAGAGACAGCATAGACTAGTGGTTTCAGAAAAATTTGTGGTCTACAGTGAAGTTCAGGGGCAGGGCCTGTGTGACCAGACCAGAAAAGTTTTTCCTATAAAACCAGAGACCCTAACAGAGAAATACAGGCAACAAAACAAGAGGATGAATTCATGGGAATCTGAATCATCTTATTACCTTCCAGAAAAATCGAGTTTCTTAAACACAGTGATAAATCCTTATGCCTACACACAATGCCTGAAATAAATCATGGAAAGGTGGTATGTTGGGGAATCAATAAGGTGGAATAAACTTCCTGTTTTCTTGGCTGTAGGCTCCCCCTGAGTGGAAGGGCCTGGTAGGGATTTCTGCACTATGGATTCTGGGCCTGGAGGGTTTCTGGCCCTGTGACATTGCCTTTGGGTTGGGAAGACCATGGACACAAATGACCATGTCTTGCCAGGGAAGATGGAGCTCTTTGATTCTGGAAGCCTGAGGAAGATGCCCCAGGACTCAGGGTGGCATGTATGGTGTGGATCCTCCATCTCTGAGTGTCCAGAGAGTGTGGCAAGTGCTTTGTGCTGTAAACAGAACAGGGAGCTCTCTCCCAACCTACACACAATCAACCAAAACTGAATTTCTTACCAGTCTCAATATGTGTCCTTTAACCAGATTTAACTTCAACTGGAGAAGATAAAATTTGATAACATTTTCACCCAAATCTTGACTGTTAATCATTAAACTGAAGTAGATTTGTATAGAAGATGAGTTTGCAGTCATTTTATTGTTCATATTTTTCTTCTTCTTCTTAGATAAATTCCTTTAACATTTCATATAAGGGCTTGGTGATGACAAACTTCTTTAACTTGACCTTATCTGGGAAGCACTTTATTTGCCCTTTGATTCTAAATGAAAGCTTTGCTGGATAGAGCAATCTTGGATATAGACCCTTGCTTTCCATGACTTGAAATACTTCTTTCCAAGCCCCTTCTTGCCTGTAAAGTCTCTTTTGAGAAATCAGCTGACAGTCTGATGGGAACTCCTTTGTGGGTAACTGTTTCCTTTTCTCTTGCTGCTTCTAGCATTCTCTCCTTAATTTTAATCTTGGGTAATGTAATTATGATGTATCTTGGTGAGTTCCTCCTTGGGTCCTTCTTCTTTGGGACTCTCTGAGCTTCCTGCTCTTCCTGAAACTCTATTTAATTTGCCGGATAGGGGAAGTTCTCCCTTATTATTTGTTCAAATAAATTTTCCACTTGTTGCTTTTCCTCTTGTCCTTCTGGTACCCCTGTAATTCGGATGTTGGAATGTTTAAAGTTGTCCTGGGAGTTCCTAAGCCTTTCCTCACTTTTTTGATTTCTTGTTTCTTTATTCTTTTCTGGCTGGATGTTTCTTTCTTTCTTCTGGTCCACACTGTTGACTTGAGTTCCAGTTTTCTTCCCATAACTATTGGTTCCCTGTACATTTTTCTTTATTTCACTTAGCATAACCTTCATTTTTGCATCTAATTTGCCACCAAATTCAACCAATTCTGTGAGCATCCTGATTAGCAGTGTTTTGAACTGTGCATCTGATAGGTTGGCTATCTCTTTATCACTTAGTTGTATTTTTTCTGGAGCTTTGATCTGTTTTTTCACTTGGGCCATTTTTTTTTGTCTTGATGCACCTGTTACATAGTGAGGAGTGGAGCCTTAGGTGTTCACCAGGGTGGGGCAACCCTCATCTCTGGTTGGTGACACTGTATATGGGGAAGGGGTTTGAGTGGGAACAATGGCACTTGCTCTATTCTTTGATGGCTTTCAGTCACTTCCTCTACCACCCACCAGCATATTGGACCATTCTGGTGTTATATCTTGGGTCGGTGGGTTTGTGCATGTTCTAGGACCCTGTGGGTCTCTCCAAAGTATGCTGCTGTGAGGCTGGGAGTTTCTCAAATTGCCGTCTCAATCCCCACATTTATTTTCAGTCAGTGGTTTGAGGCTTTATTTCCCTGTGCTGGGACCCTGGGTTTTGCAGTCCCTAGTTACACCTGGTTTATCTGCACTTGAATGTAGGACCGCCTGGGCACCAGCTGCCACCTTGCTGGCCAACTGCAGCCTTGCCCACCCTGCTCAACAATCTGACATCTGGCTGGGTTCACTAGCTAGTGCCTTGCTGTGAGTCCTCTCTGCCAGGCTGCCAGACTTCGCCTCTCCCACTGGTCTGGATGAATGTGTCTTCTTTAACTCCTTGATTGTTGAACTTCCATACAATTTGATTTTCTCTCAGTTCTGGTTGTTTTTTGTTTTTAAATTGTTGTTGTCCTTTTGGTTGTTCAAGGAGGCACAGTGTGTCTACCTATGCCTCCATCTTGGACAGAAGTCTTGCTTGAGTTTCTATTAGTCATCTAGTAGCCAGAAATCACCTAGCTTGTGCCTAAGCCAGACTGCTGAATCATGTGGAGATGTAATTTGAATCATAACTCTTGAAATTTAAATCTATGCAGGTGGTACCAACCTCTGTCTTTCACCTCTACACCAGAATTATGACATTGCTTTTAACTTACTATTTTCAATAAAGAAAACTTCACTTTCAGAGCCTTCCATCTGGCCTTTCCTAGGAGTGTCATTCTTATTTCTTAGGTTAAGGAATGATAGGTTAAAAAACCAGGTTGGCCAACTGCTATGAGTGTCCTGACTGTACCTCTGGGAACTTGGGAAATGACTGCTGGATGGCTGAATGGATCCAGTGGACTCAGTGTTAGGTGAACATTACCTTACCTCCATAAGTGTACTCTAACAGGTGGTTTGGGTGCCCAAGTGTGAACTGAGACACTGTATTAATAACCTTGAAAATTTCTATATATTTTTTTTGTTTTGAATATGGTTGCTTGAATAAAATGGCCATAGGCCCCTTTGGCAAAGAACTCAGGGAATTACTATTGTGTACATTTGCATCCTCTTTTCTGATAAAAACTGCCCTCATTTCCAACAGTAGCTTGTGGAGAAAGGATTAGCTGAGGTCTGTAAAGTAGGCAAGGAATGCTGTCTTTTCTTTCAGGTAGTGCCTGAACCATCTGGTCATCTTTTAAAAATATCTTTTGGTGGAATATATGAAGCAATATCCTTTGGCTGCTCTGCCTTGCCTGTGAGAACATGATCCTCTAGGAGCTACTTCCTTAGACATTTATGGGTCAGGGTCCCTGGTTGTCATTCTAAGCTTGCTGCTCATTACAGAGATTACTCATCTTTCTCTGATAACTGAGTGCTGCTACATGGCTTAAATTACTCTGGAATACTATTATTTCCTTTTTTATGAGGAAATCCAGCTCTGTACATGATTCCTACATTATTCCAGCCTACAGAGGACAGTCTCACCCGAGCATCTTAAGGATGCATGTGCCTTCTTAACAGTTGCATTCCTTATGCTCATTGAGGTGGTGTCTCTGAGGCCTCCTGAGGGCACAGTCTCCTGAAGGATGGGCTTTTCAGCTGTAGAGAGTAGAGCCGTGCCATCTTCCTAAGGCTTGTGAGTGCCCCAATTCCATTTTGCTGGCCCTGGCAAGTCTAGCATTTCTTCTTTCACTTAATCTAGTGTGCACGGTCCTTCATAATAAGCCACTAAGAACCACCAAGAATCATTGCCTTTGGAACTTACCAGGCTAATTAATCTCTGTGGCCCAGGGGAGTCTGCCTGTACCAGAAGCCTTCCACTGCCAATCAGTTAGTGCTACCTTATAACATTGCTCTCCCAGGATCCAGTCCCACACAAATCTCCTAGTCCTGAAGCTCTGCTGAACTGTTGAGCTAGCAGTCTTATCTCTTGTATTCCTAGTTTAGTTATGCTGAGAAAAATGTGCAAAACCTAAAATGGGGGTCAAGACAGGGGTCTCTACCAATAGGGACAAGGGACCATTTTGCAAGTCTGTGGGATCAGAGGGATCTAGAGTTCAGAGTTTAGGTGCATATACCTAGAAAACCCCATTCTGAGTTTCAGGGCTTCATGCTTTCTTTACCAGGGCCTTGACTTTGACTCAAGATTTCATACTGAGCTTAGAAGTCAGTCTTCTCTGAAGTTCTATCATTCTTGAGATTAGGGGCTGTGCTAGGCCTTCCTTACTGCCTGCCTTCTAGCTGTAAGTAATAATCAATATATTTAAGCCTGACATGTACTCAATATTTAACACATTAGTGGTGCTTAGAAATAACCACTAAATTATACAGTTCTTATGGTTACTATATCTCCCTTTGTGAATGCTAGACAATTGTATCAGGTAGCATACATTTTCCCATATATTATATTCAGTTTCTGAAGGTGAATGTTTTTAGAATTACAGTGCTTAAGCACCCCAGGTACTATAAATATTCTGCCTGGAACTGTCTGGCTAAACAGCATTCCAACTCAGTACTCCATGCCTAAGTGTTGACTTGCTAAGACCATTATGTTAAGGTGGGCTCCCAAAAGCAAAGCCTGAGATAAAGTCTCTTGAATACATGATTTATTGTAAGAATTCTCTCTGGAGGAGAAGGGTAAGGGAAGCAGGATGCCATGGAGAAGAAAGATAAGCAAGGACGTGGTCACAGCTGCATAATAGCTCTAGTCTCTGGGGGACATGGAAACATGAATCACTGAACATGGTTGGTTCAACCTTGGTGTGGGAACCAACCCCCAGGCCAAAGACATGTAACATTCAGGTGAATCTGGCTCAATTTGGCCCAAAGAAATACACTGGGTAGAGGTGGTGTTGGCAGCCAAGCTCATAGCAGCAGAGAGATACAAAATCTGCAGAAAGCAGCGTGATGTTTCAGAGTGCCAAGAGCACGCACTGCACCAGTGCACAGTTCTAATTTGTTTCATGAATACTGAAGACCTTTCTGAAATTCTTCATAAAATCCTCTTGGTTTAAGTGTAATTTCTCACACTACAAGAAAAAACAGACAAAAATAATGATAGTCATTATCATTGTCATTAGATACTTTGCAGTTGACAATGATTAGGACTTTTATCCAGGTTAAGTTTAAAAACACACCCAGCTAAGAGTAACTTGTTTCCTAAGAGCGTGATTACTTCTTGATGACTAGACAGAAATGGATGCAGGCACACCTTCTGACTCATAGTTCTTCTCCTTGGTGAGCTTAATTTTTTAATTTAAAAACCTACTCACTTCCTGAACTCTTGCTCATACTGGCTCATCATAAAACATGAGGGAAACTCTAAAAAGTCCCCAGCACCAGGAAATGAGAGCAGAGAGACACAAGGAAAGAAAATACAATGAATTAATGAGAACCACTTACCACGGGGTCCTGAAAAAATTTGTCCATGGCCTCCTTAAAACTTTTCACTTTGCAGTAATTTTCCATGATTAGTTTCTTCTTGATTATGTCCAACTTCCTAAGTTTCCCTAGATATTGAGAAGCCTTTGCAACCTGGTGAAAAATATATCAGTAGCAATCAATAGGAGAGTTTTGACAGAGTTCAATGTCTTCTGTGGATTCCCATCAAATCCAGCAAAAATACAAGGTGACAATAAAGTAGGTCATTCTCTCCCTCCCAGGGGCTTCAGATCATAAATCCCACAAGGTACTGTGTCAAGGGCAGGTAATATCATGGTGGCCTGTATTGATGTTTTTTTTCATTGTTACTCACATAATTTCCATGTGGAATATTTGGGAAAATGTTGCTCTCTAAATGGTGATAGACCTTTAAGAGCAGGAACTCACATTTCTGCAAAAGAAGGAGGCAGTGAATGAAAAACAGCTTGGAGAGAATGAGCCCAGAGGCATGCCCAGACACATGCAAGAAGCCCACATCAGTCTTCTGGAAGGTTCCCCAAACTGGTATTGCTCTTGACACTAACAGGTAATGAGTGTTTTTTTCCTATATATGGTTTCTGGTTTTCAGTGTGGCTGAGACACATTCAGAAGACCAGGCATTGTTTGACACCCTCCCCCTCATCCTGTGACTGATTGACTTCTTACATGTGAGCAGAACAGCAATGCTTGGGGTCAAATTCTACTCACCAACTTTTCATGCCCCATCTGCTTTTCCAGGACCTCAGATTCGCTGTAACACTGCAGACTTCGAGAAGAATTTTCTATTGTGCAGAAGGTACAATTCCAACCTTTCCTGAGATGTCAGATATAAATGAGAAAGGGCAAATCCCAGAAACAGCCACCATCAGTACAGTTGCCACTGTTCTCTTTAAGGAATGGCCAGTAGGCACAGACTATGGGTGAAGGGGACTCCTTAAGGGGTATCCAGAATTCTCATGTGATACCCACAGAAAGTAACCACAGAGGGTGAGTGGGTCGAAGGCTGAGTCAGGGTGGATGGTGGGCTCTCCTCTCTCCATCTGAGCTCCTGGGAGCACAAGAAGCCCTGACCATCAACTTGAGCAGTGAAGAGTGAACCTTAACCCATGGGGACCTTAGGCCTTTATCTTCCAGTTGGAATACAGTGAAATGAAGAAAACAGGCTGTGTTTTCTTCCTTTTGTGAATGAGCCCAGAATACAAACAATAGGCATCACCATTCCCATGAAAAGGGGTCTGTGCTGGGAAAGTTCTGGAAAGGATAGTAGCAGTGTGTTGGTGAAGAACCTAGCCTCTGGCCCCTGCTCCCCAGAGGAGAGAAGAGAACAATAACTCCTTGATGCTAGATTTTTTCAATAGCTCCCAGGATCATACTGCTGGACCCTGTACCTCCAGCCCCACTCTGACCCCATTAGGAAACAAGGAGGAATATGGAAGGGGGAGTGTACATGACAGAAGGATTGGTCTATAACAGGAGACAGAGGGCTGCATCTCACAAACCTCTTTGTGTCCACAGCTGGGAGGTGACAGTCCCCATGAAAGAAGCTCTGACAATTTTCACAGCAGAAGAGCTTTCCTCCATCCTGGCAGATCTTGCATTTGTCTGAGTTTTCCTCCTAGAAGGCAAAATAATGTCCACATTCCCATGGGCTCCTGATGACAAGCACTGTGGGAATCTAGGACTCACGGTCTTTGTGTGAACCTGCAGGGACTCTTATGTGTTTCTCTGAGCTGTGAAGGGACAGAATGGAGTGGAGGTGTCAGAAGAAGAATTCTTGGTCTGCTGTGAAGTTCAGAGAGAGGAGCCTGTGTGACCAGACTGGAGAAGTTTTTTTCCTGTAAAACTAGAGGTCCACAGCAACAGAAAAAAGCAAACAAAATATAACCAGAGACATGAAAATTAAGAACAAACTAACACTAGCCAGAGGAAAGTGGAGAGGGGTCAATGGGGGTTTTCAGGAACTACTATAAATGATGCATAAAAAAAACCAAGGGGGAGGATGAAAGCAAGGGACAGAGATGGGATTGGCTGGGGTTGGGGGAGAGAAGAGGGGGGAAAATGTAGACAACTGTAATTGAACAACAATAAAATAATTAAAACAAAACAAAACAAAACTCAGAGATCCTAATAGAAGGACAGGCAACAAAACAAGATGATGATTTCCTGAGAATCTGAATCATCTTATTACCTTCCAGGAAAATCAAGTTTTTGAAACACAGTGATAAATCCTTATGCCTACACACAATGCCTGAAATAAATCATGGAAAGGTGGTACGTTGGGGAATCAATAAGGTGGAATAAACTTCCTGTTTTCTTGGCTGTAGGCTTCCCCTGAGTAGAGGGCCTGGTAGGGGTTTCTGCACTATGGATTCTAAGCCTGGAGGTCCTCTGGCCCTGTGACATTGCCTTTGGGTTGGGAAGACTATGGACACAAATGACTATGTCTTGCCAGGGAAGGTGGAGCTCTTTGATTCTGGAAGCCCGAGGAAGATGCCCCAGGACTCAGCGTGGCATGTATGGTGTGGATCCTCCATCTCTGCGTGTCCAGGGAGTGTGGCAAGTGCTTTGTGCTGTAAACAGAACAGGGAGCTCTCTCCCAACCTACAGACAATCAACTGAAACTGGATTTCTTACCAGTCTCAGTATGTGTCCTTTAACCAGATTTAATTTCACTTGGAGAAGATAAAGTCTGATAATATTTTCATCCAAATCCTCACTGTTATTCATTAAACCTAAATAAATAAATAAACCTAAAACCTAATTAAACCTAAACCACAGCAGATATGAAGATACACTGTGCTATATACAAACTTGTGTATCTGTGACAATGAACTGACCTGTGACTGAGCTTTTTACTAAAGAAGAAAACACAGTATAAGGACTCATATTAAAGCTCAATGTCAGGTGCTGCTGTGACATCTGGTAACATTGAGATGGCCTTGGCAGCCTATCTGCACATTCCTCTCCCCATTCTATTTCCCTGGATAAGGTCCTACAGCTAAATAATGCTCCTTGTCAAGGGACCACCACGGATCCTGCCCATCCTGGAATATCAGGTTTCAGCTTTCTGTGAGCCATGGAATCTTTGACACAAGCCAGCCACTACCTCCCATGGAAACCAGGGGATCACTCTTCACTCTGAGCCCTCATTGTCCACTTGGTTCCTGGGGGTGATCTTGGTAAGGTCTGCATGTCTGGCACTGATCTCTTTTCTTGGTTTGGGAGTAGATGTGACTAATAACACCTGTCCATCCAACTGTGCTGTGACAGATGTTATTACTTGCCATCCCCCCAAATTTCCAGTGGATCTCTCTCTCTCACCAGTAGGGTGAAGAATGGAGTGATTAAAACAAACTCACTTAAAAAAATGAAAACCAGCATTTACAAAAGAAGGACGAACTTTTAGGAGCTATAAGCTCATGGTTGCTTTCTTGGTTCTGCCTACAGAGAGAATCAAGACGTTTGAGAACCTCCTGAAGGTTGTTCTCTCCCAGATAGAAACATCCTGTCTATCTCATGGTCTGTTGGAAAAAAATTTCCCCTCTTGTGATCATCTGAGGTGACACAAATGAGGTTGATTTGGGGACTGGCCCTCCCATTGATGATGCTGGTAAGAGGGAAGTGGACTGTTGAAGAGCAGGAGGAGGCAGGGATGACAGTATCCACCTTTCTCTATTGTGACTCTTTCTGCTTACTCCAAAAACATGTGGTCTGTGCCATCTTTCTCCTTGACTCACTGATGTTACCTTAAGTCTCTCTCCTCCAACATTTAGAAAGAGTACTCCAGGTTACTTTCTTCTGCCATTGGGTTGGCCCCAGATTGTTAAATCACTTTCAAAGCTCCAGTTACACAGCTATGTCTCTAGTGCCCCTATGTCCACCCTGCCTCCTGCCTTTGTGCACATGCCTGTGCTCACCCAGTGTCTCCTCCTGGACCCTAAATCACACACCAAACTTATCCAATCAAAACATAATGTATTTTCTTTCTCCAACCCACTACATGTTTTTTCCTGGTGCTTCCCTCTCATAAAACATACACTTTCAATTACAAACTTGAGAATCCATTCTGAGTCCATGTTCTGGCTGGTGCCCCAAATCCAATGTATACCCATTTTTTCTCACTGTAAAATATAAGCTTTTTTGTTGTTGTTAAATCCATTGTCCCTGTAGGGTCCACTGCAAAGAGGGAAGCTGAGACCTTAAAGAATGCTTCTAGCTTGATACATAAAAGAGGGGTGTGTTTCTCAAAGTCTGTATTATATCTCTGAGAACAACACACAAAGATCAGAAATGTCCTTCTTGAAATCCATGGGCAGAGTAATTTCAAACATACCCATGTTATTTTTCTTAATTTAGAAAATAATAAAGGATGAAAAGTCATTAAGAATCATTCTGAACATTCTTCTGGGGTTCTGGGTGAAAAGTCTTACCAGAATCAGGAGTCTGGTCATTTGTTTTATATTCATATATGAGAAAGTTCAAGTGTCAAATGTCATTTTGCCAAGAGCTGCCATTCAGTGTTCTGGGAGAATCCTGAATCACATGCCCAGTGGGGGCTGAGACTGCTCCAGCATGGAAGGCTGGGGACAGTTTCCTTCTCCTCAGTGTAGGACTCACAGATTAACATCATCACCCTCCAGAAAGTGGCCATCCTCTTCTCAGAAGACCAAGGAAGTAACAAACATAAGCAGTGCATAAGAATCTTGTATACATACATTTTAGTCAAGACCAGCTCTTATTTCTTTGGCTGTTTGTTAGCCCAAAACATACATTTGAATTGTCTGATGAGAGTATATGAAACAATAATGTCCTGGTCCCAATGTCAGAGATTCTGATCAATTAATTTGGGTGGGGCTTAGGCATTGGAATTCTTTTTATATCATAAAAATGAGTAACTTGTACATGAAAATCACCTGGAGACTGTTAAACAATTCTAATGTCCAAGTGATAACTTAGAATGGTTAAATCAAACTTTTGTGTAGAGTGGGATTGGAGCAATGTTATTTTCCAAATGTCGTGAGGTGGTTGCAATACAGCCTAAGTTGAAATTTAGCCTGAGCCAGTGTGGTTATTAATGCATGAGAATCTTATAAGTCATTGTTGAATTGTCCTGTACTATCTATCCTAGAAATCATTGTTATTAACAGGAGTGAGGGTACTCTTGCTGGAACAGGTGCCTTCTCCTCCTGACAGACTGTTGGCTACTGGGAGTATGACAGAACCCTCTGGATTGCCATCTCTTATTGAGGGTCCTGAGAACCATGCACATGTCCTAGTGAAGTCCAACAGCTCCTGCAGCTCTTCTAGGACACCACCCTAATGGTAAAATAAATCAATCCTAGGTCCTCTGTACTCCAATTGTTCTTCCAGAGGGCCACCCCCCTGTCCATTCATCACATCCTGAGATGGCACCTGGCTGACTTTTCACAGGAAACTGACCTCTGCACACTACACTTGCAGTGCTTTTGTACCATCAGTAGAATGACTTTGCTTCCTTCCCTTCAGGCAGCCTCAGCTTTTATCTCACCCAGGGCAGAGAGGACATAGACTAATGTGCCCCACTGGAAACTGACCTGAGAAATGGTCATGTCACAGCCTGTCTCTTGGGTACTCTACAGTCCCTGTTCTCCAGTAGTTATGTTTAGATGGTAGATAATTGAATTTGAAACAATCCTTGAGCTCAGAGATATTATTTCAATATTATTTATGGACATTTGGGCATTTCTATGCACTCAGTAACTGTGTGTTGAATGAGTAAATAGATGAGTATTGTTTCACTTAGGAAAAGAGAATATTTATTATCTTTTTAGCAAATTGGCATATAATAAATGGTTGTTCTGGCTGATTATTTCAGATTACATGCTACACATAGCAGCTATCACCAGAAAGTATAAGTGCCCCTCATCTGATGACAGGAAGCTGTCATGTTGTGCTAAAATTGACACTGAAGTAAGTTTCCAGGAACCATGGTCTCCATCAATAAGACAAGTTCTGGAAGATACTTCTCTGGCTGATACAGAGGATCTGCCAAGGTAGTAATGCATCCTGAGATCTGCTACTCCGAGTCATATTGGTTCTTGATGAAAATACACAAAACACAGAAAATTGAACTTGGTTGCTACAAAGTGTTGTACCCACAGATAAGGATGAAACATATGGGTACGGAGTTGTTGGCTTCTTCAGTAATCCAGAGAAATTAACTATAGGCACATGGAGAATGTTAGAAATTTCACAGTAGTCACTGAGGAGGTCCACCAGTAATTTTTCTTTACTAAACCCAGTGGGTGAAATGTCCTAATGTCTGAGTGTTCAAAAGACCCAGAACACCAGGTAATATAAACATCTGAACCTTACATTCCCAGCACTAGATGAAGTCCCAGTGGCTGGCTCCATGTAAGGTAACATAGAATTCTGTGAATGTCCTGGGTGGCCATTTCTACCAGAAGTGTGTGAAGTGGCACCTCACACCTTCTCCTCCTTCTCAAGTTCTCATTCATATCCAATGTTGTAAAAACTACCACTTTGTCCTGGATCTGCATTCATATGTGTGTGTTTGTTGCCTGCATAGCCTTCTTCTGCAGAAGGAGAAATAACTTTCACAGGTAAAAAGGAGGCCTGCACAGAGCCTGAGATAGAGCTAAAGGGGTGGCATCAAAGTAAACAATTTTCCAGGTCTGTCCCTCACTTAAGTTACATCTCTCTCTAAAGGGTCCCTCCCCAACAGCACCATGCTCATGAAAAATTTGCCAATAACTTCCGCTTGAGTAGAAATTTTGTCTGTGTGTATGTTTTATTGAAGGATGAAAGAGTATGTAAGTAATTAGATAAAAAAGATGAACAGTGAAAGTACAGCAAACTCACAGTTATTAAGAACCACACCTAAAACAAAAGCAAACTAAGAGAACAGCTAGATCAGGAGCAGAACCATAGAAATGAAGATCACATGGAGGGTTAGCAACAGGGGAGTGGGAGAAGAAGAAGGGGGGAGAAGGTACAGAAAATAAGTAGCCAAGACGGTAGGTAGAAAATAGATAGGGGGAGGGTAAGAATAGTAGGGGAAATATAGAATCTAAAGAACTTGAGACACGTGGTCATAAACTAAAGGGAGGAATGGTGGGGGAGGGGTGTGCAGGGTGGAGGGGAATGAAGGGGGGAAATAGAACAACTGTAATGGCATAATTAATAAAATATATTAAAAAAAGAAAAATGTGCTTAGTTTCCTCTCTCATGAGGTAGTATATGGTTTCATATCTGTTCCAAGATAGATGATCTACCAGACGGGTTCATCTTGATGATGGGGAGCAAACATTTTCTTCATTAGATTTCATTAAAGTTAGAAAATAGTAACTTTTATCAAAAAATCTGGGATTGACTTGGTGATGACCCTATGACCTTATTAAAAATATTTTATGTGTTCCATAATCATGTTTGCTTTTACAACTTTGACAACTTTACAAGATTTACATGTATAGCTAAAACTCAGCTATATGAGATCTATTTTGATGGCTCCTTATCATCTCCATCTAAAATGGTTTATAATCTAAGATAACCTTGCATACAACCTAATGTTCAGTGGAGCAACACTGAAGGCATGCCAAATACACACACACATACATACATATGTACATACATACATAGGTACATAGGCACATAAATAAAATAAAGGCACAGGAGATGAGAAAGAGAAACAAAGTTAATTATGCAACTGAGGAACCATAAAGATGATGTAGTACATATACAATCACTTATGAATAAGAACTTGTATAAAATAATAATCACCTTGTTTTGGGTTTCACGTGTAATGGGAGGTGAACACATACATCCAAGCTGAAAGAAAAAAGATCCAAGTTGATGCTTAGCCTGTGTTTAAGTTTTGTGAGTCTGGCATTCCAACCTCCTTATGAATATTTGTACACAAATGTTCAACTGTCATGTCACAGCCCAGCTGTATAACCGAGGAACCATCTCCCTCTCCTCAGATGTTCTCTATCCATCCACAGAACCTAGAAATACATCATGGAAAGTATTTCCTTGCTTTTGTGCTTTTAAAAATAACTTTTCAGAGGTTTTCCTTCACAATCCCTTTGGCACCTCTCACCCCCTCTGCATTCCCACCAGTGCCACTGAGACCTGCCTCCTCACACCTGGGCTATATAACTGACATGCACAGGTCCCACACCTACAGGGTGTCCCTCCCTCTGGACAATGTTGGGCACATAAAGGACAAACCCTAGGGGGGTCTATAGAGACAAAGGAAATGTGTGGAAGGATAAGAATAAGAGTGTGAGAAGGGCCTTACTCCAGAGTTCAGGGAACCCAGGAAAGGGGTGACCAGGGCAGGTCAATCAGGGAACATTCAGATGGGAGTGACCTGGGAGCTGAGCCTTGCAGGTTGACTATGCATTTCAACTGAAAGAATGAAGTCAGTTCAAGTCCCTACGTTGTCTGAGATACTGTTTTAAATATGTCATTTCACACCCCAGGAGACTCTGTGGTTCTGCCCTGTCCATGTTACGAGTTCAGACTTATTAGCCTGATGTTAAATCCTTCTGCAAACAACCCTAACTGATGGATTATGCTTTATTCCACACAATCCATCTACCTCAACTCACAGAGTCATGGTGACTGTGTTTCTGGTGTTTACACCGCTCTTTCTCTGGAGTGTGTTCTGCCCACTTATTTGATTGTAAACTGTCTTCTTTCTTTCAGTGCCAAAAGTTGTCTGCAAGCACCTGGGTCAGAACGAGTTTTTCTTCCCTCAAGCCCCTGCAGTCACCCTGACAGAGTGCCTTTGACTAATGGATGGGTTCCCTTGTACTGAGGTATGAATGTGGGGCACCTCCTCCTGGGAAAAAGATAAAGTCCTGGGCCTCAAGGCTCCAGCCACAACTCAGCACATATTGGGTGAGCAAATAGTGACCTCATCTTTGACCACAACAAAGTCACACCTTCTGCCCCTGTCAGTGAAATACCTTTATCAGCTCTTTTAGGGTTTTTCCACCACAGGTCAGGCTGGTCTTCCAGTTATATGATTGGTAGCCTCCTCTGAGTTCAAATTCCCTGGGGGTGAGCCAGGTTCCATCTTCAGTTCTTATGCACTTTCTTGTGGCTCCTGTAAGGTCAGGTACGTTGATTCTGACACCTCTTTGTCCTCAGAGCTCAGAGGTTGGCCTCCCACCACTTTGGATCTGATGTCACCCATCTGGGTTCAAGGTCAATAGCAGAACCATCTGGCCTCCCTTTCCATACCTCAGAACCCCCAAATCTAGCTTTTAAGTTACCTCCAAGTATATTTGCTACTTTAAATTAAAATCTCAGTAGGGGCCCTGCAGCTCACAATGGAACTAAGGCAACATCCATGTCCTGTGTTACAACAATTTTCTCTGAGTTTACTGTCATTATTGAGCAGATATTTTTCCATCCTTGAAATCATGGGTAGCTGATACTAAAATAATTGTGAAATATAAATAGGTAGAAAGGTTAACTGATATGTAAAAGTTACTCATATACTTAACAACATTATCATTAGATAAAAAGAAATGAAACACAATCAAATATTACAGTCTAAGCACTAGGGTGGCCACTACAAAAAGACAGACAATAGCAAGTGTTGGTGAGAATGCAGAGAAATTGGATCCCTCGGGTTTTGCTGGTGAGAATTGAACTGGTGCAATATTTTAAAAAATAGCTTGTTTTTTTCTCAATAAGATAAACGTAGAATTACCACATTTTCATGCAATTCCCCTCCAGAGTATATACTAAAATGCATCTTAAAAATATGTTCACAAAAAACTTCACATGAAACAATATCATTCATGATAGCTAAAGAATGAGAAAACCCTAACTGAAGGATAAATGCGATATTGTATATTCATGTAATGGTTCACATATGACAATAAAAAGAATGAAATATGATACATGTCACTGTATGTATGAACCTTGAGAACTTCATGCTAAGTGAAGGAACCAGTGACAGAAAGGCAGATGTTATGTGAGTCAATTGAGATAAAATGCATAAATAGGCTGATTTATACATCAGAACATAGATTAATCGTTGCTTAGTGTGGGCGATGAGCTGGGGTGGCAATGGGCACTGGCAGCTGAGAGGCACTGGGTTTCCTTTAGTGGAGACAAAATGTTCTAAAAGTAGAATGTGATGATGGGTTTATAATCTTGTGAATGAACAAAATTTAGAAAAGGTGAATTCTACACTCTTAATGGTGAATTATACATATGTGAGTTATATCACAGGGAAGGTGTTTAAAAAATAGTTATGATACATTTATTTATATTAGTGTTCTCATAATCAAAATAATCTGATATAAAGTTCATAATATATACAATAAATAAAAAGTTTTATAATGTTAAAATCACGAAACACTTTATATTCATATGTAAACAAAATCTCAAAGTCACAGCAGGAGGCAGACTTGTAATTATTTTCCATTTCTTAGATGGGAAGTTTCAGGCTCAGGAAGGTCCCAGTCTTCACATTGTCACTCTCAGCAGAGCTGAGGCTGGGATCAGGTTTTCTGATTCTAAACTCTGTGGTCTCCTCACTGCATCTAACACCCCGTCCTGGTGGTGATTACCCAGATGGGTCACAGGATGTGAACATGGAGGCTGAGGGCCTCTTCCCTGCTATATCTGATTCAGAGTGGAAAATGCAGTATTCTCCACCCATAGACGGATGATCCTGCACTTCTCTTTGGTTCTTTGGGCATCCTCACGGGCACTGCCACATGGGGGTGAGCACTTAATATGCACCACTGCTTATGGTGTAAAACTATCATCTTAGGGACCCCTTCCTTCTCTCAAGCCACAGTGAGGCCTCAGTTCCTTGAATGACAGGAAATTCACATGGGTAATTCCATTAGTTCATGTAATTCTTTCACAGAGGGGTTGCCAATTAAAGTAAACCTTGAAACTTACCTTGTTCAAATTTCCTCTTAATTAACAGCCCCCTCATCTCCCCACAGGTCACAGGAAGTATTTGAGCATGAAAATTCACAAACACGCCCGGCTGCTGTCTTGCCCCTGAAAGAGAGATTTTTCATTTCGCCTCAATTAACAATTGTACACGAAGAACTTCCTACCATGTAGTTATTGTTTCTACAAAGTCACAGGGGTACTAAGAAAACTTTATTCTACAAATCTCCAGAGTTTCAGAGCCTTTCTTTCAGTGACATTTTTGATACATAACCACAGAAAGTCTACTTTCATTACACCTCTCAACCCACCCACCCCCAGTCAGAAGGTTTTAACAGAGATGCCATGTGTAAGTACAACTGTCTTCACTCCCCATGCAGTCAGCCCCCTGATTCTCATGTGACAGTGACACTGCTGTCCTGGTAGAAGGGAGCTCTGACGCTGGGCTATTTCTCTGTATGTAGGTTATTGGAGGCAAAGTCCGAGACAGCACCTGCCTCTTCCTGTGTGAGCTCTGACTCGGGAGCAGAGAGGACAGTGATGGGGTGAACTAATGAAGATGGTGTCTGCCTCCTGTTTGTGTTCACTGCTTTGCCTTATTTATCTCCCACATCAGCCTTCTCCAAAGCTGAAAGGAGAGCTCAGAAAGCTGTAGACAATCTTCAAATTACATGGGTGTCTGGACCATTTGTAGTCTGACAATGGTGTGCCCTCTATCAAAAGCTGTACCCAATGCTCTGACCATCTAAGTCTATGACCTCATCTTCCCTTGTCCACACACTTCTCTGTTGGGGCTCTTTGGTCACTGAAGGCAGCTGTCCCCAAGGAAGGCAGAAAGGGACCAGCTTCTTTCCGCATTGCGATCAGGACAAAAGTGAATGGGGGGATTAATGGTGTTAGAGAGAACAACTCTGAAAAATTCTGGATTCTGCTCTGACCCTTGCTGGGAATGATGCCTCATTATTTCCCCAACCAGCCTGGAAGGTGGAGTCATTGGAGTGCCCAGATGATTCAGATTTAGTTTTTTTCACGTGTTTTTGGAAATGCCTTAGCCCTTTTTATGTCTGACCCTTCTGGATAAAAGATCTCAGTGACAGTAGGAGATCATTAAAAGAAAGATAAAGCTGGAGCCAGTGGAATAGTAAACACAGGTTTCATAACAGTGAAGGAAGAATAAAGGTTCAGGCACCTGAGGAGGGAACACCTACAGAGGCATTGGAGGTGGAGAGGCCTTAATGATATCTGACATTCAGAGCTGCCCTGAGTCCTCCCTAGAGAATGAAACCACCTGGTTCCAGTCTTTCACCACGTGAATGCTGAGTCTGCCACTCAGCATCTGATCCAAGGAAACACAGGCTGGTGCCAGCATCTGAAATCTCATGCAGAATGTCTCTGGGCAATGTCCCCCACATAGATTCTTAGTCATTTGGTGGAGGGCTATGAAAAGAACCAATGTGACCTGGCTGGTGTCATGGACATAAGAGGCAGATTGGATAGACGGTCCTTAGCCAGTGACCTTGACCCCATCTTGCCCCATTAAAAACTAGAAACAATGAACAGAAGCAAAAATCATAAGACCTATAGCTGACCAGTGGCCCAGACTGGAGAGCATGTCTGTCCCCTCACCTCCTAACTGATGTATATGCACATCCTTACAGACCTCGACAGTGGTGAACACTTCCCTTTCAGAGCACTGTGTTCACTTGTCTCTCTGATACAAACATGGTGACTTGCACCATAAGAATGATCACAAAATCCTAAAGCAATTACAGTAGAAGGGATTTGGTAAACACTGCAGGAAACAAATGAATGGATTGGGTCTCAGCCACCACTGGTGATATTAATTAGAGTTGCTGGTGGAGTGGTGTCCTCCTGGGGACACTGCAAGACTCTGTTATGTGGGGTGAGCTTGTTGGGAGGTAATTTTCGGTGGCATTTCCATGTGTCTCAGGGTATCTTTTCAAGAAATTTTGATTTAATAAACACTGTTGCAAGCTGGAGTTAATGTTGTTACCTGATCAATATAAAAGAGAGAACATCTCACTCCTGAAATATTCAGGGTAGTGAATTGTCCCTCCTCTCCCGGGGGAGAGCTCCTCAAGTTCCAGGGTGATGGTCATGTTCTGTATCTTCATGAAGATTAAATTTTACAAGAGAATACTTTAATCATAACTCAATATTTGTGCATCTCATTGTAAATGGTACATTTCATGTCAAGAGACAAAGAAAAGCACTGCAAACAAATATTGCAGTCTAGTTAATACTCTGCATGATGAAGGGATTGGAGAGAAAGGTACTGATGCCTTCAGATTGAAATGTTTCAAACCTGAGGATGGTTAGTGGATAGATAGGGAAATGGATAGATGGACAGAAAAGTAATAAAGCAAGAACAGTGAGTGTTAAATTTTGCATTGATGGGAAAGTCTTTTGATGTTTATGGTAAAATATTTCAGATTTTCGGTGGCCCTAAATTTTTCACAACTTGAGAGTTGGAAAATAATATTTTTGCAAGAAAAGAAGCTATTAAGCAAAAAATGACAGTTAAACTATAAAAATGAAATCATCCATGCAATACATTCTGAAAGACAATCAGTAACCACATTGGCATACTGAAGAGATATTTCTATTTAAAAATTCTTTCAAATCGAAGGCAAATTTGCACATACAATAGTGGCAAGTCTGCCACATAGACAGATCACTAAAATAAACAGGTATTAATTCTACTAGACACAAAGTAAAACCAAAGGAAAGAGGCAATGATAAGTGTATAAAATGATGAAAACTTCTTTTGAAGAAATAACGACTACAAAATGACAATAGTTTCTAAATTTATGACTCAAAGGAGGTAACAAAATGTTAAACAATAATGATGGAGACTAGAGGTTCTGTTTGAGAATATTTATGCTAAGATCTATGACACCTTTTGAGATTAGGGCATAGTTGAAGAGATTGCAGAAATTCTATCTCCAAGTTCCAAAGCAGAAGAGAAAAATTGTGGAATATGGAATTATATATCTCAATCAATCAGAATGAGGAAAAAAGACATAAAGGGACCTAAAGTAAATGGTTAATAAGAATATAGAATACTTGAGTCCACATATATCAGGAATCATAATAATAATAATAAAATCATATTAAAGGATTAGATTTATCAGAGAAGGTTGAAAGAGGCAAAGTGTCGTTATGAGGCACAACATAAAGTGCATGGGGGACTTAATGAAAAGGAAGTGAAAAACATAAAACATAAAAGTTAGTGTAACAATATTCCCAGCCTGAATAAAGATTTGAAAGCAAAAAGCATTAAGAAGGATAAAGAGGAACACTCTGTAATTATAAAAGAAGAAGTTCAACTACGTAATAACAGTCAGGAGTAGCCTCAAAGTATTTCAAGTAAAAAAAAGAACAAAGAGGAATTGTCAAATACACAGTCAAGTGGGAGCATTTACTACATCTCTATATGACATGATGGGACATGAACAACCTCATTGACCGTGCATCCAGGAGATTAAACAACCAAGTTGTGCTTCATGAAGAGAATGTATATGGGGAGAAGCCAGATCACCAAAATAGTTCAAATGTGCATATTTTAAAGGGACAGAAAACATTTATAAATATGGATCACACATGAGATTCCAAAGGAACTTTCAACAAATTTTTTAAGAGCTAAAAGAGTTAATTCTTCATACTATATTCCAGCTATCTACTTTTAATTTCTCATTTACTAACAGAACATCTGCATTCTTGGAGATGTCAGAGTCCAGACAAAATACCATAGTTCATAACCTCACTGATAGCTGGCAGGACCACCTGTATCGGATGTGATGAGTAAGATGTGGGAAGTGGGGAACTCTAGGAAAGCCTCTCACAAGAGGGACAGATCTCTGGGGGAAGGAAGAGTTTGCTCTTCTCCGTTTCTCCTAAGGGCCTAGAGCACGTCTAGGTGGCTGCATTCAGCAGGCACTTTGGACAATGACGTGATCTTCAAAGTGGCTAAACTGAAAGAAAGAGGAAGCTTCCAAATACACAGGGCCTAATACAGCTAAAACCATTTTGGAAAAGAGAAAGGAAATTATAGATCTTAGTGCATGATTTTAGGACTTATCATAAAGCTGTTGTAATCAAGAAAATAGAATATTGACCTGAAGATAGACATATAGGAAAATAGAACAGAAAAAGAAATAGAGAAATACATCCCTAGTTGTATGGCCAAATGACTTTTGCCATAAGCCAAATCGTCAAAGCAATTGATTCAATGTAAAAAAATAATCTTCAGTAAATGGTGCAGGGTCAATAGGATATCTATATGATGACCCCCAAAGGCCTTACTTAATGTCATGTGCAAAAATTAAACAGCTCAAACAATATCAGACACCAGTCTGATAGCAGTCAGAGGGGAGGGAGGATAAATGGACTGGGTGGAAGAAGGGGAAGGGATTACCTAGCGAAGATATATGCATAACACATAGACATACACAACAGTGTGGTGAGGGCCAGAGGGAAGGAGGATGGGTGCTGGGTGGCGGTGGATAAAGGCAGGAAATGGAGATATTTTAATAGTCTCAACAATAAAAATAAATTTAAAAAAATAAACAGATCGCAGATTCTGGGATTGCTCGGTGTCTGTTGGTATAAAATTCTCAAGAATTGAATAGGTCTCCCATGTATGTCATGGGGATCTGCACCATTAGACTGATCTTCCCTACATAACCACATACCAATTTTTGGCTTCTGCCGAGATGGCTGAAGGGATTGGTAAGTCACACACATCATCTCATCACTGAATCTTTCTGTGACTGATACTCTGACTTTTCCTTACTTCTGAGGTTCCAGCAAAAAGTCATTAAGCCACATTCTTGGTCGTTCTGCAGAGCACACTTACCTGACAGTGAATTTCAACTTTAGCATCTTTTGCAACCTGAGGAAGCTAACAATAATCCAAATCATCAAGTCCTGATTCCTTTTTTTTTTAAAGAAAAACAGTTCTCCCCTCAGTTTATCTCTTTCCTCTCACATTTTATTTTAAGCAGCAAAAAGAAAACTGCTGCATTCTTATCTCCTAGAAATCTCTAGAAAGTTCTGCTTTCCACATATCTGCAGAACAGGGTTTCCCTATGCTTTCAGTCATTTTATAATAAGGATTTTCTTCCAATTCCCAAAAAACATGTTTCTTATTTCCTTCTGACCCTCACCAGTTATACCAATTACCTCTACATCTGTGCTGTTGAGGATAATTTATATTTTCCTGAGAGAGGATAGGTTTTCTTTCCCATATCCTTCTCTCCTTCTGAGTCCTTTCTAGGTCTGCAGCATCCACATGTCTAAGGACAAATTGCTCAAGGCCATGTAGGCTTTTACAAATCATTCTATATAAATCCTTCCAGCCTCTGCTCACTGCACAAAGACACTGACAGATTCTTAGGATTGTTTTAAAGCCATAAGGCACTTATCAGAGCCAAAGTCTGTATTATTTCTATATTTCTGCCATAACAATTTACTACAAATAATGTATTAAAACAACACAAATTTATCATATTACAATTAATATCAATAAGAATTCTGACAATGACTCACTGGGATAAAATCAAGTTTTTTTTTTTATCTTTTAAAAAGTATTTTATTTATCCCAGTTTTATCCATTTTGTGCAATTTTCTTTTTTTATTTTAATTAATTTTATTTATTTTTCAAGTACAGTTTTTTTGTCTATTTCTCCCATCCCAGCCTCCCCCCCCTTGCTCCCCACCTCCCTCCCATTTCCACCCCCCTTAGTTCTCGTCCCTGTGTCCTTCCTATTTGTTCCTCCAAATCCCTCCCCCTTTTTCCCCTTAACTTCCCTTCCTTCTCCCCTCTGGTCACTATCCCCTTGTTCTCTATTTCAGTGTCTTTGTTTTTTGTTTTTTCTTAACAGGAAGCTAAACAACAAATCAAGTTTTTAGCAGACTTTCATTTCTTTCTGGAGGCTGCAGGGAGATAATCTGCTTCCTTGATTTTTCCTGCTTCTTAAGGTCCCCCACATTCCCCAATCCCTCCTCCATCTGCAGGGCCAGTGATATAGTGCCTCTCTGACTGTTCCTCCATAGTCACTTCTTCCTCTCTCTACAGCCCTGAAAGGCTCTCCAGTTTTTAAGGCCTATGGGAGTGTATTTGGGCCATCCAGGTGATCCAAGATAATCTCCCCCATCTCAAAGTCTCTATTTAGTCACATCTATCAAATTCACTTGCCATGTGAGCTGACAGATTATAGGTTCCAGGGATTAGGACATAGACATCTTTGAGGGAACATCATTGCTCTGAATATAATACTGTAAATAATAATAATAATAATGAAACTCCGGTGTTTAAACTAATTTCTCACATTAAAAGTAAGTAAAATTTTATTCACTCTTACTTCTTTTTTTCTTGGGGTTTGGTAAAGCAGACTTGTTTCCAAGATCCACAAAACCTGGAAAATAAAAGATGGGGGTGAGAAAACAGAAATGAATACATACAAGTTACAGGTCTTGGAATGGCTCATCCTGCAAAAGACCTGAGTATACGAGTAAAAGGCTGTCTGATTTCTTGAGAACTAAGAGTGTGGAATGGGCCCTGGGTCTTCTTTAATTTCTCAACATGACTTTGAAATATACCTTAAATGCCTCTGTACTTCGGTTTATGCAGGGATTGTAGCAGGTATTCTATCCTGTCCAGGTCCTAAGTTTTAATGAGATGTCAGTGCCCCCTCAGCTGGGTCCCCAAAAAGCAGGCCTATTCAGTACCCAGGCATACTTTTATTTGCACACAAATGCACTTGTGATGCACTTGTGTCATTGACCTTTTATATCAACCAGCAGCTCACCAAATGCATTATATTTGTTGTGTACCATCTAAAATCCCAACAAATTACTACTTTTTATTTAAAGGAAAAAACAAGAATATCTGAATAAAGCTACTGTAACCGAGAAAGCTATTAGTTATCTTTGCTCTTAGGTTTCTTCCAATTGCTTATTCCCTCAATAGGTATGTTTTCAATGTCCACAGGGTTTGGAAGCAAAGGAAAATACAGCCAATCTTCTATAACTGAAAGAGTGGTAAATCTTAATGACTCTTCACATAGTTGAAGGATTTGGGACATAAAGATGTGCTGATGCTCATTTCTGTCTCTACTCATCTAAAGGAAGGAGATTGCTACAAAATGAAGCAAAGACTCACAATCCTTTATCCCATATGCAGGATCAAAGAAGTCTTGAAAACCAGTAGTTTTTCACAGGTTTTCAGCTAAGTCACTTGGCAGGGAAGTTGGACTTATTTGCCATGAGTCCATGTAGAATCTTTAACTTATCACACTTGGTGTGAATTCACACAATTTGTTGCAGTAAACATTGACATATTTGAGAATAAGATTTTGCCCCAGGCACTGTTGGGGTCTTCTGTAACATACAAGATATAAATCACAGCATATTTCTAAAATAATAAAACCTGACTATTTTACATCTGCATTCAGAGGTTTTGAATAAAGGTAACACTCCATGTGATTGTGTAAAGATCCTGAAAACCTCATAGATACAGGGAACAAACTAATGACTCCCCAATGGTGAAATCAGGGAGCAGTGGTTATCCGGCCTAACTTTGAGGCTGTTGTAAACATAAATAGATATCCTTTTTGGCAAAGCCATGTTGAAACATGACTATATAGGCCCATGTCATGTTGAGGGTCACCTGTCAAAAGCTATAAATGGAACTTAATGGTCACAACCAAAAACTTTTCCTTGTGTCCATAACTAGAAAATAATTAGAGTCTGTTGAATTATGAATAGGTTTGTGACAAAATTGAGAAATAGTTGACTGTACAGCTTCTCTGTTCTGTAGAGAACAGGTGCTGAGTACATGACCATTACTAGGTGATCCAGTACTTGGGGGGATGGCATGTCTCTGAGCATGAAGTAAGGGCACCCTGCTGTCCTGCCAGGGCTATCTTGTTAAGCCTGAATTTAAGTGATTTCTTTCTTTGCAGTTTTATTTACTTTTATATTTATTGGATTGATTGGGGTGACATTGGTTAATAAAATTATCAAAGTTTGAGGTGTATGATTCTATAACACATCATCTGCACATTGTGTTGTGCATTCACCACCCCAAGCCAAGTCCCCTCCCATCACCATTTATCCTCCTTTACTCTCTTCTACATCTACCCACCTACTTCCACCTAGTGATCACCATACCATTTTATTTGTCTATGTATGAGTTTTTCTTTTCTTTTTTCTTTTTTTCTGCTTAAACCTTCTTTTCACCCACCCCCCCTTACCCCTCCCATCTGACACCTGTCATTTTTTTCTCTGTATCTATGAGTTTGTTAGTTAATTTTGTTCTTTGTGGTCTTCACAGTGGCCACGTGAGGACAAGGCAGCACTGCGCTCCCACAAGTGAGATGTGCTCAGAGGAACAGGAGCCCTGACCTCAGACTCCTGCCATCCTGGAGCCCAGTGATGGTGGTCCTTACCCTCCTGGTCAGCACCAGTTCTCACTGCAGAGCCTCCGGCTTCTGGGAGCTTCTGCTTTTCATTGACCCCCGAAGATGCTTCAGGAGTTCTCACTGCAGAAAGAGCAAGTGTTCCTTGAAGGTCTCAGTGTGTGACAAGGAACTCAGTAAAAAAGTTGGGAAGCTCTGAAAACACAGGGTAGCTTGCCCCTCCCTCAACCCCTCATGACCTGCCTTTTGTATTCACTGGACCTGTAGGTCAGTACTTTATCATCACTGTTCCCTGAGCCTGGGGTGGAGATATTTCTCTCTCAAGTGCTCCTCTGCATTCTCGTGGCCCTCTGCATTCTGCACTGCATTCTCTTCCTTCCTTTACATGAAACTTTATGGATTTGTGTTTGTGTCTGTAACTGTGTTAATTATTAGCTCTGCTGCTTTCCTAAGGCGGGCTTACAAATTTGGCATTGAAGAAGGCAGATCTGTCACTTGGCTGCTTCCCAGGATGACTTTGTGAAACAGATCCCTGCCCCTCCCCTTAAATTCTACTGTGTTTGGGGCATTGACCTCTTTGGGTTTTTTTGGTCATAGACACTAGCCTAATGATTACACAAGTTAAAATATGAACTATCTTAAATTAAAATAAATTTACATTTTACTATAAAAGGTATAGCAAAGAATTAGAAGGATTTTTTTGTAGAAAACACTGCTCCTTCATAACCATGAAAAGTTGTTATTTGCTCCTACCTCTTTTGCAAGTTTTCTTTCCAGATGTAGATGACTTTCTTAAGTTCGTAGACTCTATAAAGTAAGGCGAAGAAAACAGTTATTTGTTAGCAACAGTCTTACATAATCCATGATAACTCACACAGCAGATAGGGTTTGTGATCATCTCAATTTTGAAATGAGCATTTTCCTCTTTCCTTGAACTGAACCCAGTTCTGGTGCCCACAGTCATAATACTGGGCTCCTGACAAGCTCTCCCCTTTACTTCTATATGTGAATTTGTAAATGATCTTCAAACATTACCTCCAGTTTCCTCATCTGTAATACTGAAATAACCTAGTTATCCTGTCTGTATCCCTGTAAAGGTATTTGTGAAAACAAAATGAACCTATCTTCACAATAGCACTGTGAAAAATCAAAATGTAAGCCAATTGTGTAAGCCAATTTGGGTTTGAGAAGTAATTGGTGTGAGCTACTTTTTTCATCAGTAACTAAATAGCAGCACCAATGACTCTATGAAGACTTTCCAAGTTTTGTACTAATGAGAATATTGTTAGGAAATTGTGAAATACTATGCTTACTACTCTCTGTAGAATATAAAACATGTTGATACAGATGAAGTATATTTTTCAATCTCTAGCTATAATCAATATGACAGTGTGTAGTAAAAAAGACTGTCATTTATCAGTTTAGTGTATTATTGCTATGTTGCCATAATACCAATTGATTGGACTCATCCAGTTGAACAATAGTTCATAATGTCCTTTTTCCCTCTTTTGTATTCCAGTAGGGTCAAAGACATTAAATGCTAATAGTGATGCCCTAGAAGTAATTGAATCAATGCATAGGTCTGAATAAGGTTAGTTGGGAAAACAGAGCTCTGGATTTTTACTCTATATTTTGTTGTCCAGAAATATGTCTTATCTGGTACATTTTAGAATCATGAACAGGTTACTTTGTATTTCCCCTTTCCTCAATTCTAAGGAGTCAAGGTTATTGATCCCTGCACAGAAGAATAGGATTAGCTAGGTGTCTCAGTGTGTGGCCAAGAAACCACTTCAGCAGGAAATTCTCTAATACACTGGGAAATATCTTGAAAATCCATGTATATGATGGCCTTCTAATAGACCACCTGCACTGCTCTTCTAGGTCATCTGCCTTGTAGGTTATTGATGCTCCTTTCCCTGTCCCCAGAGCAGAGACAATTCATTGCTCTCTTTGAACCTGTCCTTCCTATACCTCTCTCTCTTCCTCTTCCTACCCCTTCAATTGTCATTTCACAATGTATTCATTGGATGTTTCTTTGTAAGCAGGCCTTGGATATCTTGTGTTGAAGGTAGAGAACCTCCTATACACCATGATGCCCCTTGAATCATTTGCAAGGCTGAGAAATAATCTTTTTTGTGTCTGAGCCATAGACCTATGTTGGGACCACCTTTCAGTGCAGTTTGCCTACACTGAGACACAAGTCAGAAAGTACACTCCCTAAAAACTGAAGCAAACTTACATTATACATTGATAGATATAAGAAGCTATCAGAACAAAAGTATTACATGCAATATTGTTCTTTTGTAATGTCAAGAGCAGGGAACAAACATTTTTATTTGTTTTTAGAAACTTGACTTAGTTTGTTTTCCTAGGTAGACATGTTTCCAATATCCTCTGCAGAAGTAGGAATGGAAAACCAATCTCCAATTTGTATGCCGAAGAACTACAGATCTAGTGATTATTCATGCTGTGCACAGGTTTGAGGAAACCACATTTTGGTAACTGTTTTGAGCTCTGGGTTTGCAAAGGAAGCAACACAGCATCCGGCATGCTGTTTTTCCCTTTTTCTCCATGAGACTTTGAGGAAGACCTTGAAACATTTATGTGATTGTGTTTCCTCATCTAGAAACCAGAGTAAGACTGTCCATCCTGCTTACCCCTCAGGGTTGCTGTAAAAGGAAAGAGTAAGATATTCTTTGCAAAGGTCCTTTGAAAAGTCACTGTATGTTCATAACTTGCTGAAGAACTGTCAAAAACAATGTTTTGGGTGTCAAAATTCTTATCCATTTCTGCTAACGCTAGATAACTGAAGGAATTGGCCCTTGACACTACTCAAAGTTTGTGACCTGATGACAATATGGCCTCCAAATAAAGATATACTTAGCATTCTTTTCTCAATGGAAACCACTGTAAAATCCTACCAACACTTTAGAGTCATAGGCTTAGTTTTCAGGCAAATTCATTACTTTACTAGCCTATTTCTACTATATAATAAATAGATGCATAAGTTGATTAATAGGACCTATAAATAAGTAGGCCCCATTTTCAAAAAACATAAACATAATGAATTTTTATCTCTTTGGGCATTCCCTAAAGGTTAAGTAAATAAATGCAGAGAATGAGATTACAAGATAAACTGGATCCATAGTGTAGCATGAACTCAGAACATTGCCCAGGAAAGAGTTGCTCTTAATTCAGGTCCTGCAGCCCAAGCCTTGAGCTCCCACCTCCTTACCTGGTTTTCTTTTCAGTGCTGAGGTGGAAGCTTTGGGAGGCTGTTCTTTGTTTCTACGTTCCACAGAGTCCTCACTGCTGGTCACTGCACAGAGGACAAAATCCCCTTAGAGTTTCAGGGAGGTTCCAAGGAGCCCACTGATAGGAAACCTCATGATCAGAGCACAAGGAAGACCTAGAAGCTAAGTTAACTCAGGTCCCCTGGTCTGTGCCCTAACATGTGTGGCCTGCAGGTTGCTCCAGGTCCTACTCAGGTGTGAGATTCAGGCACAGGGGAAGCTGTGCCCATTCTGCAGCGATTCTTACCCCACAGTCACCCTGTCTCCTACTTCCACCCTCACTCTAACCTCTGATCCCCACCCTCATTCTGTCTCTTAACTTTGCTATTACTTCCACCCCCATTCTATCTCTTTCTTTCATTCTTATTTTAATTTTCACTTCCTCTTGGTTTAGCCTATTTTTGCTATATTTGTTTCTGGTGATGGTATCTCTTTATATATTTTCTTGTCTTCTGGTGTCTTTTTAAAAATCTCCTTTCATGAATATCTTGGCTCTCTGAATTATTTGCCTTGAACATAGAAAATACTTTCTGAGATTAACACTAAAATGTACCTTTTCTTTTTTTATATTTTTCCAATTACAGGGCACATTTTTCTGTTGAACTTGCTACATAAGGCACTGATCCCCTCCCTTCCCTACCTCTAACCCAGGCCACCAGGACAGCCTCCATAGGCCATATGATGTGCTTCAGACTCCTGCCTGATACCATGATTCACATCACACATTCTTCCAGTCAATGTTGCCTATTATATCAGATGCCTGGTTAAAGTTAGCCCTTGCCTGGGCTTCCTATTCATCTCCTGAATTAAACATTGACTTTTCCTTCATTATATCCACAAGATCTACAGAGCAAGAATTGATCAGTTTCCATGATGGGGTAGCTCTGCTCCTGAACCTAATTACAATTAAGGAAGAATTTTGTTTGTCTCCCCAAAGGGAGTGAGCACCCTCACTACAATTAAGCCCTTCTCCCTGTAATTCCACTGTTTGTTTTTTTTTTAATTTTTAACTTTTGTTTCAGCTTTTCTAAGTAGTAGCCTATTTTTATCTGAGAGGGTTTAAGGGCCACTTTGATCACTGTGGACACCTCACCTTCTCAGTGATGTCAGGAGCAGCCTACTG